CCATAGAATTCCACTATAATTTATCAAACTTGGTAATTAAGAGCTCACTAATGTCTTACCTTACCACTTAGAACCTAGCATGAAAAGAAAGAGTTTCCCATGAAAATACTTCACAGAGGCTGAGAAAATCACTTGAGGGACATTCTGAGCTTTTGATTGGTTGTACACGTATCACTGTGTGAAGTAGGTGTACGTAAGCAAGTGTTTTCAAAAGTCGAAGAGGTGGACGGGGATTCCTTGGTTGATTCAATAAACATATTATATCAGAAAATATAAAAGATAGGAGGTTCTTATCTTAGATTCTAGCTTGTCAATATTGGTAATTTGTAAGAAACTATAGACTTTGTATTTGGACATCACAAACATCTAATTTGAACCAGTGCTGCAGTCAACATACCAGGTGACACACTAAAATTGGTATTTAGGATCCTTTTTAGTATTTGATTATAAATTAAGAAATTAACTAATGTATAATACCAAAAATTTTAACAATAATCTACAATTTGAATCCAAATCTATTGACATAAAATAGTAGTTCATTAAAATGTTGAATATGAGTCCAGAAATGCAATAACATGACCCATGACCATAGGAAGACCAGTGTTTGTAGGGTTAATGTTTTATCACTTTGATCTCATCAGATGACCTAGGTCTTTGTTATTAACATATGTCTGTTGTTCTGCAAGACGCGAGCAGAAAAACTCGGATATATTGAAACGTCCGAATAAAAACTTTTTTTGAATTTTATCTTATACTTCAGACAGACTGTTTGTGTTATGTTAGAATTTAGCTTCAAAAGTGTAACATGGTTTGTACTGGCTGACAAAGGGCATTTGCCTTAAACCTTGCATAAAATAAAACTTAAAATTGTATTTAGATGTGTCAATTTACCCTTTATCTGAATAATATGCATGTATTTTTTGCAACAAGAATTCTGCTGTATCACAGAAGAAGTATAAGTATAAAATTTATTAATATTATTTAACTCGTTTTTTCTTTGTTTCTTAACTTGCTTTTTCTAAACCTGCGTGTTTTTGGAACACTAGTTTGATGTGAAGATGAGATTGTGAAAGTACGTCTACTGACCCAGTGTTATTGATAGGTTGCACATTGGAAAAGGGGTTCAGCTTGACCTCAGAGGTGAAGGTGATGTGTGGTTGAGGTGCTTGAGTGATCACAGTGTTTTTGTTCAAAGCTACTACCTTGACAGAGAAGCTGGACGAGCCCCGGGAGATGCTGTGCACAAAATATACCCAAGTGCCTACATTAAGGTGTGTGTAATATCTACTTCTAAATAATAATATTAACATTTTATGAATTAGCAATGACTTTTGTAAATTAAAAAAATTTCTAATAATAATTACAACAAGAATTAATTTGTTTTTTTGCCATAATTAAAATATTGAATTGCACAAACGAAACATGCTTTCAGACTAAATTCTTTTGTGTTCAAATGTTTATTTCTATTGAGGTTTTGGTTTCTTTCTAAGGTTATGTAAATTTTGGAAGTACTTGTTCATAGCTCTGTAATTTGTTTTACGTTAATAAATGTAATAAGTCACAAATAATGGAAGAGACTTCTTGTATTTTAAAGGTACCTTAAAATGTGTATTTTGTGGAAACAATTATTTCTTTCATAACACGTACTTTAAAATATATTTCTGCGTAGGTGTTTGATTTGCGGCAGTGTCACCGACAGATGCAGCAACAGGCGGCTACGGCCCAAGCGGCGGCCGCGGCACAGGCGGCAGCAGTGGCGGGGCACATCCCTGGTCCGGCAGCGGTAGGAGGCATTGCCCCAGCCATCAGTGAGTTGCTCGGGGCTGTGTTTTATGTACACGCTATTCCTTGCCTGTCTGTCCACCAGACCTACAAGTACACCTTGTATGGTTATAATTAGATAATACAAATATTAGTAACTGAAAGTCTCATCTGATATTAATATTTCACTAGTATTTATTAAAAGATGAGCTTACTAACTGAAACTGAGTTTTTTAAAACTTCCGGTATAGCTCGGTATATAGTTTTGATGTATGTAGGTGCATAATATGTTAGTAGTGTGTCTGAGAGTGTCGACTTTTAGGCCTTCCCTCTGGATAACAGTCCTTAAAGAGAGATTATTGTGCCTGATACTGTTGACTCTTGGATCTTCCCTCTGGATAACAGTCCTTAGAGAGAGCTTA